CTTGAATCGTTGATGAGGCTCGAGGGGAAATATAGTCGATCTGCGTTCTATGAATGCACTGACTGTATGGATGCAGAAAGTCTGGACCTAAACACTTGCGCCGTCAGCCACTCCACGTCAGTTTGCGGCCCCGGAACCTCTGAAAATTGCCGTACGCGGCTCCGATATTCAGTTTGGTCACCCCTAACGTATAGCGTTGGAAAATTGCTTAGTGAATACTAAATTGGAGAGGATGTCGGAGAAAAACGGTCATTTTAAGGTACTATTCCTGCATTTGCCTGGGAAGGCCGAGGAAAACTACGAAAAACCTCAGTCACGATATTCGGGGTTCCTCCCAGAAATCGAATACAGAAGTTTTCCAAAGCGTTATCACTTGAACCAATTCCCTCGGTCGGGTTGCAGCGCAAGAAATCCGAAAAGTGCTCCGCTTACACCCCGGACATCGTCCTCTTTAACACTAACATAACCGCATGAGACACTACGTGGAATAGATACACACATAGTAAAAATTATATTCACTTTGCTCAGACTGAAAATCACGGAGCTCGGTCCACACGCCTGCTCGTAAACGTTTCAATATGCCCACATCTGAAATCAAAACCCTTCGAAGAACTTGCCTGAAAGCAGTCCCACGGGACGATACGAGAAAATTAAATCAACTACTGGATTTTTAAATATTCTTGTTACCTCAGAGCTCGAAAGTCAGCCATGAATGTAGTTTCGAAATTAAATTACACAATAATTTGTGTCGTATTATTATTGTTATTATTCTATTACGTGTGCTGATCTCAACAGACCAGAAGGAAATTACTGCGTCAACATGAATACCACTAGAACAACAAAAAACCAACATACGGACAGAACAAAACGACTAATGTCAATTGTTATTTAAATTTAAAGGTAAGTTTATAAAAATAACTATCGATTTGTAAACTGCATTAACAGCTGAAGGGCACTGGCTGAAGGAGCAACTCAGCGTCTAGATTGGTTCATAACTTGAGGCTCTCGTTATTTAGCGACTGTGCTCCAAACGCAAGTTATACGGCACCTAATGAGACGGAAATATGATGATAGTCGGTTACGTAAGGATTTGGAAGGATGCGATCTTTGATTATTTAAAAATTACACTGAAGCACTCAAGCTGTAGACACTTATGCAAACCACAGTTACTACAACCACTGCCGAGATTGGAACCCAGTACTTCTGAAATATAAGTAGCAAGAGTTGACACTATATTAACCTACCTGGTGTAACTGACTGACTATAATTTCCGCCTAAATATTAACTTTAATCAGAATGCGCATAAACTCAGACGGGCTACTCCATGACTGACATGTCACATTATTCTGACAACCTACGTATTTTGGAGCACGCGGTAGCGTAGTTGGTTGAGGCACTATGCTACAAGCCGGAAAGTCGCGGGTTCGTTTCCCGATGAGGTGGACTTTTTAAATTTACCTAATCCTTCCAGTCGCACTATGGCCCTGGTGTCGACCCAGCATCTAACAGAAATGTGGACCAGGAATCTTCCTGCGGGGTAAAGGGCGGCCGCCGCGTAAGGGTGACAACCTCACCACCAGCTGAGGCGACTGTCTAGAGAAAAAGTAGGAGCCTCGACGTCTCACAACCCTATGGGCCTTCACGGCCTGTTACAGTGATAGCTTTACATTTTACGCACGTATTTTAGACCTAAGGCAATGTTATTCCTACGTCACTCTTGCACTGTGGCTGTGGCTGTGGTAGCTCTCATTCCAGTACATTCTGTGTCTCTGTACCTCCAGAGTAATTAACTCTGTTAAGATTGTCTACATAGTACCCACAGGTAACGTTCGAGGCACTTTGATAACTCGGCAATGACTGAAGGATCTGTCGGTAATTGATGCCTTGCTGCGGCGGAGGGCCTAAGGACCCGAGGAAACTGTGAACACCTCTTCTCCCGTCCTTATCTCACAGCCATTTGATTTATAACACATAATTAATTTTGTAGTTTCAATAGGTGGAAGAGTTACTTCTCTCAACTACTGAATGTATATGGGGTTACTGATGTCAGGCAGAGGGAAACACACACACGCCTGAGAAGAGACGGTGAAAGACAAGGAGAGAAGCACGTACCTCAGAAGGTCTGGCAAGAATCTACCAGACTACACGGAGTTACTTTCGGTCCCTAAAGACGTCACTATTATCCCTCCCAGCAACCGATTCTTGAAACCTGCAGTTCAATAATTCCCTCTACAACATGCGCAGGTCAGTCAGCGGGTACAGCTAGAGGATTCGGGCTGGACTACCGAGAGATCGGAGTTCGAGCCCCGGTAAATTAAAAAAAATGTTCCCTTCTCCACGTCGTCGAGACCGGCTCTGAGGCCCATCCTGCCTCCTGTCCAATGGGAACCGAGGGATATTTTCCCTGGGAGTAAAGCGGCAGATGCGTGAAGCTGACCACACACCTCCACCACCTGCCAAGGCGAAGAAAACGTGGATCTATACATATGTCCTCATGGCGTACTGCTTAATTAGTTAAGCAGGGGGACAACTTTTTTAAACCATTACTGATGTGGAGCTTCTGCTTAGCTAAGCAATATCCGTCCCTGTTTCCATGTGAATACAGATGCGTAGTTACCACGGATTTCCTCTGCAGAAGGCAAAACACGTCAATCCGATGTCCTCTGAGCCGTAAAGACAATTATTGAGGCACGTGGGATTTGAGGTTTTCATTTAGGCGAACATTTTAATTGCTATCATCTAGATTCCGACGCCGTGCTGTCTCGTAGGAAGTTACAAATGTTCCGTAAGGCAATGCTCCTTTCAACTTCAGAGTAAGGAAGAAAACCGGGACAATAACTTCCTCCGAAACGCCGATAAATGCATACGAGACTACATGGATCACGACGCAGAAAGCGGAAATACGAAACTACTTAGATCCTAACCAAATGAAGACAGAATGAGGCACACGAGGCCAAAGGTTGGCCGCTTACCTTTTGTTCCATTTCACAGATTCTTGTACCTTGCCTTTACATGGGGTTCCAAAAATAAAATATAACTCTCCTCGGTTATGTTTTACATAAACAGACTCTCTATCTATACCTTTGCAGCTCTTTGTTGAACCTTGGCCGCTATTTCAGTTCCTCAGCCTTCTTACACAGTAAGACTTCTTGGCCGGGGGATCAGCCCATTGCAAGGCCGCCATCTACACAAGACAACACAAACACAGAATAAACGCATGCAGACATCGATGCCTTGAGTGGGATTCGAATCCACGATCCCAGTGCTCGAGAGAGCGAAGACAGCTGATGCCTTAGACCGCGTGGCCACTGTGATCGGCATATAAACGAGCTGAGCTATGAAATATAGTGTTTTACTAATTGTAGACCCGTCCCTGTCTGGACTGCAATTTGGCCTTGGAATCATCTGTGAATTTTCGGAGAACACACAGATGAACAGTAATTTCATTCACTGAGTCACCGGTACGTTTATCAGCACAATTCAATGTAATGAACAATGAATACTTGTGCATATGCATCATGCCACGGGACTGAATATAAAACAACGTGAAAGCTTTTGATCCAGCAGATCTGAAGTAAAATACTGTCACGTGTTTCCTAGGTAACGCGACATTGCTCCCTTCTCAAGGCTGTTCGTCCCGAACAGCCTAACGGACCTTCCCTCCCTCCCCTCCCTCATTTCTTCTCCGCTGGCTCTCATGTCTTCTCGCATGGGTAGCAGGAGCTCCATCATTTGTTGTGGCTCCATTTTTTGTAGCGGAGGATGTAACACTTGCGCTCTTGGTCCAAAACTGTTTCCCACTTCTGACCCCGGTTGTCTCGTGTTTCTTATGTAACGCGACATTACATTAGCATATCGACTATTTAATTCTGAATTACAGAATTACAATCCCCCTCCCCATATCTCCCTCTGCTGATACTCGTATATGGAACAGAAACTGAAAGTATGGTTTGGACAGAGGCAAAGGCGACAGGGCACTCATGCCGGGCTACACTGTGAATATTCCTAGAAACTCTCGAAGTGTCTAATCTCGCTGTACAACTACAGTCGTAATAACATTATTCATATTATAAACTCCCAAAATTAAGTTTAATATATAAACAAAACATTTCAACACAAATTTTATGTAGACAGAGATGTGCTTCAATCTCAGGAGTATTATCATTTTAATCTAAATATTCTAAGACGTGAAAAAGCTACATAAAATAAAATAATCAATCCACTCTAACTCTACATAATGAGTTCCCGAACCTATGCCGTGAAAATAATCGTACCTCTTTATTGTTTTCCCTTCTCTTATAAACCTCAATCTGCTCCTTATCAAATACAAAGAGTGGTTACAATGTCTCAGACAGGACCAGTATTACTATTATTATTATTTTCTAATTTCATTTCACGCATCATGACCTTGAAAAGTTACATACATTATTAGTATTCTTACTGGGGTGAAGGTGAGTTTTTACGGACACTACTGGCCTATTGTACCAGCCCCCGATGATAGATGATGGTCATTGTGGAGCAATTGGTGGAATGAAGATTGGCAGGGGAAACCGAAGTACTCGGAGAAAACCTGCACCAGCGCCACTTTATCCAGCACAAACCCACATGCCCTGATCTGGGCCCGAACCAGGGTCATCGCGGTGGGAAGCCGGTGGCTAACCGCCTGAGCTATGGCAGGGGCAGAACAGGGAATATATAGAGAATCTATTTGAGAAGGGGGGGGGAGTGTTTTGAAAAACAAATTAACTCGGGAAAAAATACGTTACACCGATTGGGAAATGATATAGAAGGCTGATGTAAATTCCGGCTTCTTCCTAATCAAATTTTCGTTATGCAATTATTTGTTCATTCATCATTGCATGCCCTTATCATCATATGAGGGGACATGAGTCCGTCATCCCACCCCCCAAACAGACTAATGCTTCTCAGTTTCAGGATTATATATCAATTAGTGTCCCGAAATACGGAAAGGTGTTCACTGTGATTCCTTGTTGACACAGGTTACTGGCCGTTCGGAGTTGTGTGGTGCAATGTCTATGTCACCTGTGACGTACTGGCATGCTCTGCAAGCATTATGCACATGTGTTTCATAAGCCTCGGTCGGTACCTCGGGATCCGTAACCCGCTCAAGACCCGACATGCCTACTCCACGAAGAGGCTGGTTGGGTTCAAGATAGCGCTGGTGTGGTTGCTGTCTATGCTTGTGTCCAGCTCCATCACAGTTCTGGGTGAGTCAATAGCGCACCTCACTGCATCAGTGAGCCTAGTCTAAGAGCTTCAACCCAATATGAATAAGCATTCTAATTTAATATATTACAATATTGTGAAAGGAGGGCACGCGGTAGTGTAGTGGTTGAGACACAATGCTACAAGCTGAAAGGTCTTTCCCCGGGGTAAAGCGGCCGGGACGTGAAGCTGACCACACACCTACAACTAGTGAGGGGGTCAAGAAAACGTGGATTCACACATCTGCGCCCCCACACGCCTTCATGGCGTAGTGCTTAATTAGTTAAGCACAGGGACCTTTTTTTTCCCCCTTGACACTACAGCCTCAGTGGGTCTAGGCCTACCTCCATGAAGTTCTCCGTTCACTTCGGTTTTTCTAGATCTTACACATACGGTAGGACTCCTTGGGCGAGTGATCAGCTCGTCGCAAGGCCTCTACCTGTAGACAAACACAGGAAAACTCACAAACATCCATGCCCTGAGTGGGATTCGAACCCACGATCCCGGCTTCCGAGCGAGCGAAGACAGTGCATGCCTTAGACCACTCGGCTACCGTGACCGGCCAGGGACAACTGTACCTTACCTTACCGAAATAACAAATGTTTTTTAAGATATTTGTGTTCATAGAACTGACGGCCAGGATTTCTAACAATCTGGCAATCCAGGTTCTGTTAGGGATCGTTAGGTTTAGTTACAATGCTAACAAAACATCTTCATTATGAAATTATACTGTGTCAGTGTGTTACGAATGGCAGCCAGCAGCTTACACACATCTCTTTCAGGAGTCCACAACCCGCGGAACATAATGCCGGAGCCACACATATGCGTCATCAACAACAGAGCGTTCTTCGTGTTCGGCTCGCTCGTAGCTTTCTACGTTCCCATGGTGATAATGGTTGTGACTTACGCGCTGACGGTGCAGCTGTTACGGAAAAAGGCACGGTTTGCGGCCGAACATCCAGAATCGGACCAGTTCCGGCGTCTAGGAGGACGCTTTGCAGCCTCCAAGACACACCATCACCACCACAACCACAGGTCTTCCACGTTGTCGCGCCAGCTCTGCAGAACCAGCGGAGGTTCCGACAGGCAAGTACATCTGTCAACTTTCTGCATGTATTTCCACGTGTTTAGAGGGCAGACACGGGGTTTGGATTGGTAATCTGGTTCACCGGACTCGTACAAATGGTCACTACAAGCAATTCTAGTGCTCTCGCTAACTGACGGACTTCACACTTCACTATAGCACGCACCTATACGCTGTGACGTGTTGCGTTCGTGTATTCGCTGCCGCGGAAGCGTGATTCTCGAGCCGTTCCCTAGCAACGGCCGTATCTTCTGGCTCTGAGTAGACATGTCACAAGATCGTTTATTTCATTCTTCGTTTTTTATACATTTCCATATTACTGCATCTATTTCGACCAAATTTGTCACAATGGTTCAGGACCTCCCTGAGGAAGTTATACATACCTGACAGCCATAAATTTAGTATAAATATCCCAGAAAAATTTTGCAGTCACCTGATCACGCTGGATCCACGTTCGCAGATTCTTCTACCCTTGAAGAAGGAGCGGATACTTACATCCGAAACGTCGGTTCACACGAGATTTAAACGCGCCACATCCCAGAAGATAATATTTTTCATTTCCACCTCCGTGAAAATCTCAGATTTTACAATATTACACATTACTGTAACAACACAAAAAAGGTAAAATGAACTTTATATGAGTGGGCAAAGGTGAATGTTAAGGCCCATACAAATTAAAGTTCCGAAACATGAGAATAGTTACACAAGAATGTTTGCAGCCATCTTCATGTTTACCGCCGAGGAAATAGTTCCTGAATGGAATGTAGTCTTGATACAATAGTGCAGAAGACAAAAATTCTGCCCAATACTCGAACCCACAACCGCTTTGATCCAAGAAGAAACCAAAGCCAACCCTTCGTCGGCCAACTGGACAAGTGCTATTACATGACACTCACAGACTGGGCATACTCCCAAATTTAACAGCAGAGACAACGTTGAACGCAAAGTAGTTCACCAAAAAGAATTTACATACACCGTTGCCAAATGTCAACAGAACCATACAACAGTTTATCCACATCTCATTTTCTATTCTCTTACATTTATACTGACATTCTTTGTACAAAAATACACAGAGCGTGAGCCATATACTGCTGCATCCAAAATATCTCGCGTCTGAATGGAGGACAGTAATTAACGCATTGCGGAAGCGAAGACTAGACTACACCCCATCACTCACAGCTGTAACGCTGTGATTGCCGAATTACTATGCCAAATGCAACGGATATGTCGGCTATATCCGATTCGAACCTGATTTTATAAGTCTCGGGGACACCACGTCATCGGTTACACTGTGAGACATATGTCTTAATTAACATTTCAGAATGTGTCCTACCGACTAGTCAAGAATTCAGCATTAGTACTGGTCCTGAATACGTTAAAGGAGTAAAATAAGAACAATCTAGAAAGATTTAACGTTTCTTATAATTCAAACTGACACTAAACATGTTTACTTAAAAAAGAACACTTGTATCGGAAGAGTTCCGCGTCGCCCATACCGGCTCTGGGGCCCACCCAACCTCCTTTCCAATGGGCACCGGCGACTCTTTCCACGGGAGTAAAGCGGACAAGGCGTGAAACTGACCACTCACCTCCATCTAGTGCCGAGGCCAACAAAATGTGGACATGTGCATCCATTTCTCCATACGCCTTCAAGGCGTAATGCTTAATTAGTTAAGCATAGGAACAACTTTATTTTTTATTTTTTTTATTTTTTGCTTCTACTGGTCTCGGAAAGAAAATAATTGGTTACTTCGAAGCCCATTGAACATTCCAGCTCCTACAGCTAAAGCAAAGTGGAAGCAGTAATTTGATTCCTTCATTACGACAGAAAGAACATGAACGCTACGGTGCTCCTGAACATCTGACTATGCAGCACTACATACACGTCAACGTTTCTACACGTCATGTAATCGCTGAAGGGACACTAGTCACAGGCAGAGCTCCCACACACGGAAAGCTGGTTCTTCTGACGCCCTTTCGGGAACACAATTAACTCTCGTAGTATTAAAATTATATTAACTAATTGGGTAAGCACCGGAAACGCCAACGTGCTCAGACCCATCTCCTGTTGAAAATCCGAACTCCTACACATTATAGAAATGCATCATTCTGATTCTCCTTACTTCACTTTGCTGTCGTCTGACGGTTTAGCTACTGCCCCCATACATATATAAAAGTTAAATGTAACGGTGAGATTACCGTAAATGAACGGATGTGTTGCGAGTTCACCGTAAAGCCTCGTGGCGCACCGTTTGCCGCACCTACATGCGAGCACCGCAAAGTGAGCGGCGATAACAGGTGGTGTTGCTAACGTTGATTGTTTGGGATATTACGAAAAATATGTTCATGTATTTCGAGACGCTCATGACAGCACGTACTTTCATTCCTAGCTTGAGATATAATAGTACGATCCATATTCCAGGAGGAAACATCAATATTCTCGGAGGTCATAGTATCGGTCAATTTAAGCAAAAGAGTTTATATATGCATGTGTGCTATTCCGAACGCTTTCCGAGACAGCTATTTCACTGTACAGACGAGCAACACGCCACGTCCTCACACGAGTTGCAAAGTGCATTGATGTTGATGGTGGAATTATCGAAAATGTATTATACCACGTGAACTGTACCAACTTTGTCACCTGAACAATAAATACCAGTATTACAAACAGTACGTAACATCTCTTTCTTATCAACAATTTTGTAACTGTATAGTGAAATAGCTCTAGCTCGGAAACCGTTCGGAATAGGACACATGCACATACACCATTTTTTTTTTGCTTAGAATGACCGATACTGTGACCTCTCACAATATTGTGTGTATTAACGAACATACTTATAGGAAACAGTATAAAAAAGACGTAAACACACAGAAAATACCTGACGCGTTCTACCTCTAAACAATATTCACACTCAGTTGATTCATCTGCATTACACAAGTATTTCGCTCTCACCGGAGTTACAGATGGAACAAAGAAGAGATTTAGGCTTGGAATCTCTCGGAAGTGCTCTCAGGCCGGTGGCAGTAAGAGGTGGTTTAGAGTTTGAGCGGAGAGATCAGTATCACAGAAACCTAGTTGTGTGCACCACCAAATTAGAGAGGAGGTTAATACCCACTGCTGTTCATACCCTGCAAGCCATTAATCTGGCATATTTCGTTTGGCTACTCAAGGTCCATCACTTCCCAATACTTATCTGTAGGGTTAGGTTCCGCTACATGTCCAATCCACATACTTCCCAACAAATGTGTGGGAGGAGACAAAAGTGGAGAGGCGGGTGAAGGAGTGATGAGCTAGAATCACCAAAAGAAGTGTCCCCGACTGTAACACATCATTGAGCTAACAACATTAACCAATTCTGTGCACATTTCGTCCGATATTTTCAAAATATAATTAAAGATTTCAAGTAAGGGGGCACGCGGTAGCGTAGTTGGTTGACACATTATGTTACAAGCCGGAAGGTCGCGGGTTTCATTCCCGATGAGGTCACTGGCTTTTACAATTTACGTAATCCTTCCAGCCACACTATGGCTCTGGGGTCGACTCAGCCAGCGCCAGAAATGAGTACCAGGAACCTTCCTGGGGATAAAGTTGCGGCCTGCACGTAAGGCTGAAAACCTCACCGCCATCTTTGAGCCTATTGTCTAGAAAATTTGGGACCTTCGACGTCTCAAAACCATATGGACCTCCATGGCCTGTTACAGGGATAGCCTTTCTTTTTTAGTAAAGAGGCACAGTTGTTACTGGTAAGAACTGCCACACTGAAGCACTGTTCTTGTCTGCAGGAGCACCAGTATACGTGTGAGTTCCTCGCACCCTCACCTGAACTACGTGGCGAATGGGGGCAGCGGTGCCGGAGGGACGGTCACTGCTTCACGGGGGCGGTGTGACCAAGGGACACAGACTCCGGACAACATCGCCCGGGAAACGCGAAACTTCCGTCTGAGAAGTCTTAAGCTGCAACTTAGCATGGGGCCTTCGACACTCAACTTAAGGTAAATGCGAATGATCTCCTATAATCAGGCGCCTCAAACTAGATATTAATAAGCATCATACGTATTCAAAACGTAGAAAATGAAACAAAAATAACTGCGCTTAGAGAGAAATATAGCATAGACGAGAAAACTGTAGTCTAGAAACACAAAACAAGAAGAGACGCCCAACGCCACGAAATACACGAGAGCTATCTGACGATGTTAGCAGTAGCTTTCTTTCTTCTGTGAGCTATGTGACGATTTTATCAGTTTTCTTTCTTCTGTGAGCCATTTTACGAAGTTGTCAGTAGTTTTCTTTCTTCTGTGAGCTATCTGACGATGTTACTAGTAGCTTTCTTTCTTCTGTGAGCTATGTGACGATTTTATCAGTTTTCTTTCTTCTGTGAGCCATTTTACGAAGTTGTCAGTAGTTTTCTTTCTTCTGTGAGCTATCTGACGATGTTACTAGTAGCTTTCTTTCTTCTGTGAGCTATGTGACGATTTTATCAGTTTTCTTTCTTCTGTGAGCCATTTTACGAAGTTGTCAGTAGTTTTCTTTCTTCTGTGAGCTATCTGACGATGTTACTAGTGGCTTTCTTTCTTCTGTGAGCCATTTTACGAAGCTGTCAGTAGTTTTATTTCTTCTGTGAGTTATCTGACGATGTTACTAGTAGCTTTCTTTCTTCTGTGAGCTATTTTACGAAGTTGTCAGTACCTTTATTTCTTCTGTGAGCTATTTTACGAAGCTGTCAGCTTTCTTTCCCCGAGATACATTCATGACGTGCAGTTTACTGAGCAAACGAACGGCTTTGCCTTTTACCTCATTGGTACTTTCCTTTGCGCAGAAAGCCTATCCTTTATTGTAACAGTAGAGATTACATGAAATTATGTAGCTAGAATAGTTTTGTGCCGGTCACGGTATCCGAGCGGTCTAAGGCATGTAGTGTCTTCGCTCGCTTGGAAACCAGGATCGTGGGTTCGAATCCCACTCAGGGCATGGATGTTTAGTTTGTGTGTGTGCGTGTCTCTGTGCTTGTATACAGGTAGAGGCCTTGCGACGAGCTGATCACTCGCCCAAGGAGTCCTACCGAATGCGTGAGATTTTGAAAAAAAACCGAAGTGAACAGAGAAGTTCATGGAGGTAGGCCTAGGCCCACTAGGGCTGCAGTGCCAAGGATAAAAAAATAGTTTTGTAGGACGGTATATGCCCACAGGGAAACCCCAGAAGTCGAATACATAACCTTCACAATATGCTAATTGGCAATTAATATGATGCTAGAATCTCACGCTAGACGTCAAGGCAACGTCTGGCCGACACCGGCTCCCGTGCAAAATAAAATATTTCAGCTTCATAAAAATAATATATCAATAAGAAACCTGTAAGGGCAAAAGTCGACTGCTATGGCCCTGAAAACGTAAAGAGTACAGGCTCGACGCTGTACAGTCTAGATACTGTAAGCACAACATAAAAGTAGAGATTTTGAGAAAGCTGAAAGGAAGGCTAACTGCGGGATTCTGAACGCCAGAAGAAAACGGACTGCACTAATTAGGGGGAGCGCGGTGTGCCATATTGCAGAATGTCCGTATTCTTCACAAACACGTGCGATGAAACTCCCGATTCTAATTTTTCAATAAATTCTAACTTTTCTTTACACTCAAGTTTGTCCTTTGTCTTATTTGTCCATGGTATTGTGACAATGCCTGAAAGCCGGAATAGCGGAGCCAGAGTAGACGTTCACTGCTAGGCAACGACTTGGTAAACAGGTTCCCGCGGCAACGAATACGTAAGTAACAATCGAAGTATTGTTGAGCTATAACGATGGAAACGATGTTCTCTCCTGGATCCGACCCGAGTCTATATAACGAGGATCCGAGGTCGGCTGAGTCAGAATTGAGGGAGTCGATTGAGAAGAAATGGCAAGAAAGGATGTGCAAAAAAGACTTCTTGTGTGCTGTAGTTACGGTGGGCCTGTAATAAATCCGTTGTCAGGGAACGGCTGGTGAAGATATCAGGCTGGAGAAGGCTGCTATGATTTGTAAAGTGCGAGAATCAGTGAAACGGTTATAATTAATTGTAGATACGGTTTATAAAGTCCAATAAATCCATTCACAAATCCATACCCTGTCCATAATCGCTAATAAGAAGTGACAGTATATTGATTGAAAGAAATTGTAATACAGAACAAACCAAACAGGGGGGGGGGGGGTTCCGACACATCAACAAGACTATTACGGGGGAGTCCCGACACATCAACCTGATTGTTACGGGGCAGTCCCGACATATCAGCCAGACTATTATGGGGGAATCCCGACATATCAACCAGACTGTTACGGGGAAGTCCCGACATATCAACCAGACTATTATGGGGGAATCCCGACATATCAACCAGACTATTACGGAGAAGTCCCGGAATATCAACCAGGCTACTTCAAGTCCCGGCATATCAACCAGACTATTTCGTGGGAGTCCCGACATATCAACCAGGCTATTACGGGAAAGTCCCAACATATAAACCTGATTATTTCGGGGAATTCCCGACACATAGAGCAGATCATTACGGGAAAGTCTTGACACATCAACCAGACTATTACGGGGGAGTCCCGGCACATTAACCTGATTACTACGGGGGAGTCCCGACATATCAACCAGACTATTAAGGGGAGGGTCCCGACATATCAACCCGACTATTACGGGGGAGTCCCGACATATCAACCAGATTATTACGGGAAAGTCCTGACATATTAATCAGACTATTACGGGGGAGTCCCGATATATCAACCAGAGAATAGCTGAGAAGTACCGGGGAATTCTGTCCGTTAAACTCGAAATCCGTTAAGCGCGGTCAGTTAAACAGAGGATTTATTGTATTATGACCAACCACGAGCAGACATGACGTTAACCAGTGTACGAACGGAGTGAATGTGTTACGCAAAACTGCACACTTCCCTAAGAATCCCAGTGATCAGTTAGTCTTAAATATAACATTCGAGAAATGCATATCGGATATCATGCAATGAAGTTCATCCAGAAACGCTTCAAGTGGGTAACGGCTTGCACTTTCAAAGGGTGAATTACTGCACTCACATTTCCAAGGAACAAAGCCTATTCGTTAAGAAAACTCATTAATTAAACAATGCCACTATTTACGGGGTTTTTTTTCCTTGGCACTACAGCCCCAGTGTCCCTAGGCCTACCTCCATGAACTTCTTTGTTCACTTCGGTTTTTGTAGATCTTACACACTCGGTGGGACTCCTTGGGCGGGTGATCAGCTCGTCGCAAGGACTCTACCTGTACACAAATACAGAAAAACCCACACACACACAAACTAAATATCCATGCTCTGAGAGGGATTCGAAAGTGAAAACAGTACATGCCTTAGACCGCTCGGCTACCGTCACCGGCCTATTTACGGTTTACTGATCACAAACAAAAAAGCGCGATACACTGTGTATGCTGTATATATTACAAACATGCGCCAGAAGTGCGTGCGGGATATGAATGCATTTACACGCTTTAACTTAGCAAACTGTCTATCCAGCGGAAGAATAGCGAATACATGTGCACATGTCTGTACAGAAGTACAGTGCTCTCAGAAGACTGATTATGTGATGGACGTGACTTGTAGACTGGAACCTTGTGAATGAAAACCATATGTGTTATTGCGTATACTCACAGTAACAGCAAGCAGTGGTCCCAACAAGTGTCAATAAGTGTCGACTCTTACCTGAAACAAGAGCAAAAACAAAACTGAAATTTCAACACAAGTTCTTCTCTATACAAAAAGTTTTGCAAGGGTGATATTTATCGCTGTCACTATACAATTTCACATTAATATAGCAATGAATTTCGGAGCGTTAACATGCTATGTGAACGTAAGTTACGCTGTAGGTCACGAATAGGCGAGCAGACCCTTGTTTCAGTGAACTGTCACAATTTTAGAACTGATTCTAAACGGAATTTGATTCAGTAACTAAATTTATTGAATACTTACAGATCGTAACTACATGTAATTATAATGCCACCACTAATTCACCACAGCAGGCATTAAATCTTGTCAGTCTGTTGTGTCTACACAAGTCGTTGCCTGGTAACGTGTTCCAACTGCGGACGTCCCCCTTCCTCTGGGTTCCCGAACTATCCCCGTACCTCAGCTACAAGCTTCTAACAGCAGCTCACAAGGACTGAACCGTAGCAGTTCTATAATTCACTCATTCGCTCTAACAAACCAACTCGCTGCACTGCACTGCACTACTGAACTCAACTCCGTCGGTCGAGTGATATAGCTTCGAAGAAGAACACGTAGAAAACGCCGCTTACAACAGTACATCCACTGTTGCGCTAGGGCCGCTGCCTAGCATCGGCTCCAGTACTGTTGTGTATTTAAGAAGCTGTTGGCTAGCAGTAACCGTAGCCTCGTTTCGCGGTCGTTAGCTAGTAACGGGCCGATATGTCACAGTATGTTGTCTATATTGTGAGTATTTATAATATTGTATTTTGGTGTGATTACGTAAAATGCAGCGTGTTATATAAGCGAAAATGTATACAGTTGACTATTCGTGCGTGTTATTCGTGGGAGATATGGTTAAACCATAAACGAATATGGAAGAGAGCGGAGGAAGTTAATGATACGAAAGTTTATATAGCAAATGATAAGACTTCCCTATGAATTTCCAACGAGTATTTCGCCAGTTACACATAAAACTAAACACATGATCCGTATTTATAGTTACATTTCAGATTTTTTTCGTACTCATGCATGCGTCTTGAATTCCGGAGCTTCCATACACATTTCTCAATACCGAGGAAAAGAATATTTTCTTTACGGGCCACCTCATACAGCAAGAACTAACCGAAAGTAATCACGGAGCGTGCCGAGCTTAAATTAAACTGATGCACGTCAGGTGAATGGGGCATGCGGTAGCGTAGTTGGTTGAGGCACTAAACTACGGTTCGATTCCCTATGGGGTCTTTGGATTTTTCAACTGACCTAATCCATCCGCACTATGGCCCCGGGGTCGACTCAGCATCTACCAGAAATAAACACCAGGAATCTTGCTAGGGGTAAAGTGCGTCAGGCGAATGAGACTGAACCTTACCGCCATCTGTGAGCCAACTGTCTAGAAAATGTGGCAGTCTCGACAACTCACAATCCTATTGACCTTCACGGCCTGTTACAGGGACAGCTTTACCTTTCTCTTTTTGGATGGTTATTTAACGATGCTTTCAATATGGAGAAATAGCGTCGGATGAGAGGATTATCTGTGAAAGAGAAATTGCAAAGAATATGGTTGGAACTGGTCATGGCCTAAAAAAAGGTACTGACCCCAGATTAATAAATCACTGCTTTAAATATCTGTCAGTGTGTTTCGATTGTGCTAACAATATAAATTTACTGAATTCTTGATATCATGCACACTTAGAAATGGCAGGCGTCCATGATCCCTTAATCAAACACCGCATGTAAATTAATCATTTCGCCGTTCTTTACTCGCCACGATTTGCTTTTTACACTACAGCTGAAACAAAACAACTTCTACTTGTCTGCCAATAACGTCTTGCGCACTATCGTCACATTCTCTACAGCTGCTGTAAACCATCACTCATATTCAAAGTCAACACTTTAATTTCACATTTAGCTACTATAAAACCTTCATAGCTTCACGAAATATAATACGGCGCACGGTGTAAGCGTTCATGCCACTTCTTAATTAAATCAAGCTCTTTTAACAGAAGTTAGTAGCATTTTAATACAGTACAGTATTTTGGAGGGGGTACAGGGTAGCTTAATTGGTTGAAGCACTATGCTACAAGCCGGAAGGTTGCGGGTTCGATTCCCGATAAGGTCACTGGATTTTTCTTTCAATATAACGAATACTTCCAGTCGCAATATGCCTCTGGGGTCGACTCAGCCTCTAACAGAAATGAGTACAAGGAATCTTCTTGGGGGTAAACGCTGCCCGGCGCGGAAGGCTGACAACCTCACCGCCATCTGTGGGCCGACTGTCTGGATAATGTGGCAGCCTCGGCGTCTCACAACCCTATTAACCTCCACGGCCTGTTACAGGGATAGCTTTACCTTTTATTATTATTATTATTATTTTAGTATCTGGATCAGAAAAATGACTCCGTAAGTGGTTCTGATATATTCCCCCCTTTTAATTTCGAATTCAATTGAAACACGGAAACATGTTCCCCGCCGAATTCAGCTTAGAACGAGGGGAGGCTGTATTAAAGTAAGCCTCAATTTTCTCAGCAATTACACAGATTCAACATAACGATATTGATGCTATTAAATTTTCACCCGACTTCAATCAGGAAAAAAAGAGGTTGGCAATTACACGGTTGTCAATATGCCAATACAAGGAAAAGATACAGAAACGTGTTACCAGGCATTACCGAATGTATATTTCGTTAAATCCGACTTCTCTACTTCAAGTCGATCCAAGAGCAGCGACAAAGAAGGGCGTCTCTCCTAAGGACGGATGCTGTAACAAAGTGCTGGCTTGTCCGTCCTGTCACACAGCTCAGAGGCGATATATAGCTGAGTCGGCACAGAAGGGAACTACGGACTGGATGGTCGTGGCTCGATTCCCATCAGGGGCAATGAAATTTTCTCTCCTCCATGACGTTCAGATTGGCTCTGAGGCCCATCCAGCCTCCTCTCCAATCAGTACAAAGGTCCCTTTCTTCGGGAACAAAGCAGCCAGGGCATGAAGCTGAGGTGAAGAATGGTGGAGTTATACCTCCACTTCTTCATATGCCTTCATGGAGTCTTGCTTAATTAATTAGGCACGGGGACAACGTTTTTAAGAAACGCTGAAAGAATGACGACTGGCAGAGGCAAACCGAAATATTTGGAGAAAAGCCTTCCTCCCAGTGTCCCAGGATTGAACTCGCGCTCCACGATAACAGCCCGGCATCTAACGACCCTAGTTACAGGACAGAATGTCCAGTTTATGTCAAAATAAATTCCTTGTTGTTATAAATGTCAAATGTAATCAAATTCCGATCATCTACAGGACAGTGAACTTTCATAGCGAAGTTTAAAAGCGTATCGTACATTATAATGGAAGGCAAAACAAGGTCCCTCAAAGTTCGAAATGTTATGCGCGCGTAAAGAATGCCTTTCAACACTAATGTGTGGACATCAACAGGAGAAGCAGCAGTCCTTTACGCAGCATAAACTGGGAACAACAGCCCTGAGAGTGACGCCCGTCGTTATAGTTCTGACGCCGTGCGGTTGCAACTCGAAAACTGAAGCAGTTTCATTGTTAGGAATCAACTCTCTGTTTCAAGCACCTGTAAACGTGGAGAAGCCGCGTGTGTGCCAATGCGCTGTGTCTTGCCCTGACAGTTTATGGCTGCCATGTCTCTCAGCTGGATGTCTTCACGTTCCTGGCACGCAAGAAGAAAAAAGGATTGAGTAGTTTTACTGCAGTAAAGACGGCGCAAAAAGAGTCTTCCATCAAATGTCGAATTGCTTCTTTTTCTGGCATTGTTTCTGAAAGGTAGAAGGACTTGCAATTATAAGTCTGTCATGTTTGTCCGTCCCTCTGAGGACCACCGAACTTCAGAGCCAGCAAAGAAAATACTAAACGCGACACACAGGACAGACAGTTTGCGGCTATGCTGGTAGATATATTCATAAAATCTTATTACTGCACATTCGACATACAGAACCGTAGAAGCCTGAGCTATTTCCTAGTATCACACTGAAATGCTGAACACTAACTTCTGTGTGTTTTTTTTTTCCGGGAAATGACCTTCCATCGTTGTAATATATTTTGCGGGGNCCGTTACACACGCATTATGATTCAGTCTTCACTAGTCGCATCCTGGCAACGGATTTATAACAATCTCACTGCCACTTCTTTTCACAGCCTTTCTTGACATTTATTCCAAATCAACGTAGACTTTCATCTCCGTAACTCGGCCCATTTCTTGATAACGCAATCAAACGACTTTCTTTGTCCCTTTAAACACCCTGGCACGGATCACGCCGAAAACACAGTATCTCTGTTGTTGATTAAGCTTGTTTAGTGATCCGCTTCCTAATAATGAACGTCATACTGTTGCGCGCGTACGTTTCCGTGGGAATATGTCCACCGAGGCGTTGCCTAGCAATGGATATATACGTCACAATATGCAGTAATGTAACAGGGAGATAAAAAAGAGCCGAATTTACGGAATTTTTGGTTATCACAGTAAGGCACTGTCGAGCTTCAACGTGTTGCATGAACATAAGTCACGTAGTAGGTTATGAACGAGCTAGCAGTTTTCTCTTTTCAGTGTGGTGCAATGTACAAACGAGACTATGCAATTAATTATTTGTGAGTGATATTATTGGGAGATGGCGTTAAATGTCGATCTGGACGTACCATTCGGTAATAAGTAAAACTGGCAAGGAATGAGAAAGAAATTAGAAGTTAATGCTATAAAAGTCTACGTAACAAATGAGGCCTCCCGGCAAATTCTGAACAACTTATATACTAGGGAGAGTCAGTAAATAAGAGTAGGTCACAGATGGAAGTAAGCAGCTGTAATGGACGTAATAGGTTTTGTTTATATATCACTAGGTAGCAGCACAGTCCAGTTTCAAGAAAGTTTAGGTAGCAGACGCGCACGCGCATGTTCACAGGCTGGTTTCAGTAGTCAATATAGCGACCGTATTTGAGGGTGTACTACCGAGGAACAATTTTGTGTTGTGATTCTTTCTGAAAGCAACAGGACTCAGTGCAAAGTATATTAATAAAGTAATGTTTCCTGCTTTGTCACGTAAAGCAGTTCACAACTGGGTGGGAACAGTTTTGCTGATGGCGAAGAGGTTGAAGCTGAGGTGCGGAGTGGCTGAAACAACAGTCAAAAGACTTCTGTGCTGTGGGTTTCGGCGCACCGGTAAAGCTATGAGAAAAGTGTATCAGTGTTGGTGAAGGATATGTCCAACTGAGCTGGACAGTAGCCCTCGCCTGCACACTGATGACAGAAACCGATCCAGCTTCAGAAATTCCTAACTTCACGGATCTGAGTCCTTCTTGAGTGTGCCAATTGTGTCACTGAAGATCTCTCAAGCATTTTATGGAACCCAAAGGTTCATTACCGTGTTCACAAGAGCATTCCGCTGGACCCTATCCAATCCATACCACCCATCCTGTACCTCTAAGATCAACCACCTACATCTTCGTCTTTCTACCTGTCTCTGTCCTTCTGGCCTTCCCACCAATATCCTACACGCATTCCTCTTGTGCCCCATTCGTGCTACATGCCTTTCACATTTCATCCTCGTTGACCTGGTTATTCTGATTATACTTGTAGAAGACTGGCGACTGGCTACGGCTGGACGACCGAGGGGCCAGAATTCAAGTCCTGGTACGGTCAAGAATTTTCTCTTCTCCACGTCGTCCAGACTGGCTCTGGGACCCACCCACCCTCCTTTCCAATGGATACCGGGGGCTCTTTCCCCAGGGGTAAATTGGCCGGGGCATGAAGCTGATCACTCACTTCCAACTAGAGCCGAGGTCAAGAAAACGTGGATGGTACATCCACTCCCCCTACGTCTTCAAGGCGTAGTGCTTAATTAGTTAAGCACGGGGACTTTACATTATCTTAACAGCGGTACTTATGAACAGTACTGTCTTCTGCTGTTACGCCGTACAGTCTTGTAGAAACTGACAGATCATTCTACCTATACATAAATCAAAATTATTCTATTGAAAGAGGACCTGCAAGGTCTTCAATAGAAAACATCATATTACTATTCTTGGTTGCTAGTCTTACTCTTCTACCCTGAAGATGGAGTCAGTATGTTCCTCTGAAACGATTATAAACTTCTAAAAGACTATATGGTGTAACGTCCCAGTAGACAGGAACATTTCACTGGCAACGTTCCAGTTCCCTAATCGCCTGTGTGCGACACGCGATGTCCTTTCTTCCAGGTTCCTAGCTGGCAGGAACAGAAGACGCTCGTTAGCTGCAAATGCTGTGGCCACGGAACAAAAGGCATCCAAAGTGCTGGGTTTGGTCTTCTTCACTTTCGTCCTGTGTTGGGCACCTTTCTTCATCCTCAACATAATCTTCGCGGCGTGCCCACACTGCCACGTTCCAGATCACGTGGTGGACACGTGTCTCTGGCTGGGATATGTATCCTCTACAATCAACCCTGTCATCTACACGATCTTCAACAGAACATTCAGAGCTGCCTTCATCAGGCTTCTGAGATGCAAGTGTCACAGATCGGCTAGGCCTCTCAGGTAGAGTAAAAACTTTTCTTTTTCTGTTTACATCTTAACATTTCAAATTTAACATTAAACACAATCTAACTTCACTAAGCGTACCCCTTCTTGTGAAGCCGACAGTCGCTCTGCTGCTCGAGAATTTCCCGGCATTTTATGGAACCCGAAGTTGCATTACTGTGTTCATGGTCTCCATCCTGAGGCAGCTCAATCCATACAACTCCATCCTATCTCCATTTTAATATTTTCCAAGGAACTACGTTCTCGTCGTACTACTGGTCTTCCCATCAATATCCTACATGTATTCCTCGTCTCCCCATTCATGCTACATGTCCTGCTCATCTCAACCTCCTTAACTCGATTATTCTAATTATACTTGGCGAAGAGTACAGGTTATGAAGCTCCTCATTATGTAGTTTTCTACAACCTCAAGTCACCTCACTGTTCCAAATATATCCTCACCACCCTCTTCTCAAACACCCTCAATCTATATCCCTCCCTTAATGTCAGAGATCAAGTTTCACACCCATACAGAACCACAGGCAAACTTATATTTTTGTATATTCTAATTTGTCATTAAACACAATCGATTAACTTAAATATACAGAGTGTACCACTTAAGATGCAACCCGAACTACATGGAAGCATGTGGGTAACATCGGCAGTGTCTTGTTAGGCACTTCTAGTGAGGGTATGCATTGTTAAATGCTTCACGAATAGCAGAAAACGATTTCCAAGCGACGTGATACGTACGTTCTGCCAGTGAATACACCCTGCTCGCACCTGCAGAGCGTCTGCGCAACTGGCGACAGCAGCAGCATAGCAACCAGGGCTGACAGTGACTCGAGTGTCACCAGGGAAGTTAGGAGAGTCAATTACACGAGGAACAGCTTCTTAGTAATAATTTCTGTGCTGCAGCACGTGATATATGTGGGCTGCGTTCTAAATGACACACCATGCAAGTTTTCAGACCTCACTAGGATAAGTACAGATTTAATTGATTAATTAATGACTCTTTATACCTTTTTTCCCCCTTGGCATTACAACTCCCCCGTGGGCCTAGGCCTACCACCATGAACTTCTCCGTTCACTTCGGTTTTTCTAGATCTTACACATTCGGTAGGACTCCTTGGGCGGGTGATCAGCCTGTCGCAAGGTCTCTATCTGTACACAAACACAGAAAAACGCACACACACAAACTAAACATCCATGCCCTGAGTGGGATTCGAACCCACGATCCCGGTTTCCAAGCGAGCGAAGACAGTACATGCCTTAGACCGCTCGGCTATTGTGACCGGCCTTTTTATACTTGGCTTGTGCAATTTCATGTTTCTGAAACCAGATCCTGAGATTTGATGACGGTTTTCGCAGGTACCGGTCAGTGAGCGAGAATCGGACGGTGGGAACGCCTATGGGGTTCTTGTCCTCCACCACGGTGACGCCTTCAGTAGGGAGCTCGACTTCCACCCCAGCGGGTGCAATGGCGGGGGCAGCCGCCCTGCCCTTGTCCTTGTCCCTGCAAGGGACGCCCTTACTAGCCACCCCCTCATCAACAACGTCGTCATACGTTGTCATGAGGACGCCGTCAGAGAACTACCCAGACGCCTTCGATGTGGAAGACCATGACTGCTGAATACTACCACTGCCACGTAACGCCAAACATCTGAACTAGTCTCCACACCAAAAGTTACAGTGTTTACTGAGGGCTCGGAAGACATTTCAGCTGATGTCCAATTATAAATTTGTAACATAATTCAGTCGCATTTATTAGTCAGGAAGTGAAAGCTACAATAAGACATTTTAAATTATCATCGTTTTGCCACCTCCCACCAAAACTTGGTTCGTTCTTAATGCGTCAATGGCACAAAGGGGTCCTCCAAGAGAGTCCCCCCAAACTACAGACTGACACCAAAGTTACGAATCGATTTAATACAAACCATAACACGATAGAAGAATGTTTTTACACGCTGTGTTATGGAATGGTCACAATTTACAGTTGTTCTCTCGGTTTAGGAGTGTTTCTTTCGCATACGAATACATCTTTCGAAAATTCAAGTAATATAAATTAAATTTAAAGAGTGGATGAGAATTTAAATTGAATAAGCAGTTGCAAATGCACACCCAGTGTTTCATAACATCAGAGACAATATTCAAGAGTACAATAAGAACGTGTGTTTCCACAGATGATTTCAAAGTATCGGTACACATTTATATAAAGGAATACATATTTCGTTCCGTTTTGAATGTAAGACAGAGAAACTAAAGCAGGAACAAGCTGTGCTCAAGATCCTTCAAAAGCCTTTGTTCTGAGTGTCGCAAACGAACAGCGAGTTTCAATTAGAAAAATAAACACTGTATACTGTAAAATCTGTTGAACATCAGTACGGTTCAGGGAGGAGTGTTTTAAGTGCTTTTCACAATATATAACCATCAGTTCACGATGAAGATAGCTGACAAAAAAAAAACACGTTCTGGAGAAAGATTCCATAAAGCACGAATATGGATCAGTTATTACATAACAAAGCTGCAATGGCTGACGGTTTGAGTGGTTGTTTTGTTTGTGAGAATTTAGATATGAGATACAAACTATATATATAAACTGTAATTGCAATAAATTCGTTCCATATTCTTCCAAAGGTAACTAAACAGCATATATCTGTATAGAATTAAAAAAAATCGATTGGTCCCGTTTCGCTTCTGCAGAGATGTCGTCTGTTGTGAACGTTACGTCACTAGCCACAGGTACACACAACACAAGGAACTGCAGCACGTCCAGCCGGACATATAAGCAGATTTCCTGGTATGATGAAATGCGTGCAGTTCAAGCAGTTTAGTTCCCTGTGGCCATTTACTCATCACACAATCTACGTAATAATAGAGTTACTCCTACGGTTAATTAAGTGCCGTGATGAGGCATGCGCAGTGGAGGAATAACTCCATAAACATCTAACCCCTGCACTAGCCAGGTACATAGCTTAGCCGCTTTATCCCCGACAAACGAGCCACCGGTACTCATTTCATAGGTGGCTGGTTGGGCTGCAGAGTCAGTCTTCACGGTGTGGAGGAGAAGAGAAAGTCTCTCATCCTGTAACAACTCGAATACTGACTCCTGGCCGCCTCGTTAGTAGTAAAGTCAGTATACTTAGGTTTCTCTAAAGAAAAAAGGTAAGATTGATAACTGTGTGTTGTAGCCACGCTAGAAAGGTGCTGTTCCTCTCCCGATCAGAACATGGCACACTATGCTACAAGCCGAAAGATCGCGGGTCCCATACCCGATGAGATCGAATTTTTTAACTTGACCTAATCCTTAAATCCGCACTATGGCCCTGGGGTCGACTGAGCCTGTAATTAAAATGAATACCAGGCATCTTCCTGGAGGGGCAAGGGACGGAGGGCGCGTAAGGCTGACAACCTTACCGCCATCTGTGAGCCCACTGTCCAGATGATGTGGGAGCCTCCATGTCTCACAACCTTATGGGGGGCTCCCCGGTCTGTTGCGGGGATAGCTTTACATTTTTGCCTTTATCAGTTCTTCTTAAGTCACTGCGTATGTAGTTCCTGCCCTAGAAGGTTTCGATTATGATATAAAACAGAACAATTTAACATAATTTGAATTTCCGGATCGATAGGTGCTGTGCCTCTTAGCAGAAGTCATATTTGGAACTGAACTGCTACAGCCCGCAAGCTGCTGGGGCAACATCAGTGGGCACGTAACGTAACTTCAATGGTTAGGCCAGGGACGAGAAAATGAGAATGCCCTCTAGCAAATTTGGGACTATGTCCCTTGTACTGCGGCCACTTCTGGCCTATTGTACCAGCCCCAGATGATAGGTGAGGGTGATTGTGGAGCAATTGGTTGAATGAAGATTGGCAGGGGAAACCGAAGTACTCGGAGAAAACCTGACCAGCGCCACTTGGTCCACCACAAATCCCACTTGACCAGACCCCGAGATCGAACCCGGGCCGCCACGGTGGGAAGCCAGCTTCAGCTATGGCGCGGCCTTATCCAGGTTAATATTTCGGCGCTTACCAGAATAACCGATGACCCGGTCGAGATTCGAACCGAGTACATAAGGTCAGAATGTTACCACTAAACCAAACTATTTGGCCCAAACGTATGCTTAACGAGGGGTTTATCTTCGCGACGTTCGTGGGATTTTAATAAATTGAAAAATGTTTAGTCGTTCATATGCCCGTGGATTCAAGATGCATCCACCCGCAATACGCAGAAACAAAACTTAATGTGCCTTGTGCCATACACTTAACGTGAGGCATGTCCACCTAGGCGTGGGATTAATCCACCAAAGTCGCAGATTAGCGGGGCTGTCTCTGTAAATCGATCAAAATTCCTAAATATTTGCTGATTTATTTTTCGGGTAACTGCTCAGAAATCTATGGTGTCTTCAGCCCGCAACGAACGCGTTTATGAAGGGTATGATCTAATTGGTCGCAACGCCGTGTAACTCGGAGGGACGCAGAACTTTTCGGGCAATCTTACCAGTTCCATCTTCATTAGGGTCAGCATTGGTAACCTCATAAGGACGCTCAACTTGCCACCTGCTTCTGCCGGCTTCCTGCTTGGCTTACACGGAAGAATGAACCAATATCTTCCTCCGAAACGTTGGACTCTCTCCGAACTATACGTCATTAGAACCCAGGAGACTACACTCTTCGTGTTCACCGCCGTGATAACCTCAAATCTCAAGTGTTTATGGAACTTCCGCTCTCATTAAAGATTTCTTTTCAAGTGGAAATCAATTCCATATTGCTTCGGTTTTGGAATCCTCTGACCCCGAAGCAAAGGCGCCCGGGGACTAGAATTTGATTATGGGGACGCAGGTGGGCCTGGCAATTTCTTTCGGTGAAATTCTGAAACACTTATAGATTCCGTCGTCTTCGGCAAATAAGAAAACACGTGGGCGCATTTAATTTGTATGACACAGAAATCTGGAACACCAATATTACAAAACCAACAGATATCTAGACCCGCGCTGAAAATATAAAGCTGTATGTTTCCCTCTAAAGCTGAAAAAATATATACATACCAAGTAGTTCCCGTGGCCCTGGGAGTCGTAGAGGGCAAAAAAATGGAGCCCGGTGCCTGGGGGTATAACTGGGCCAACCTGTCACTGGGGGACATAAATACAGAGAACTAGTCCTCCAGGTGGGGAGCTGGACGCAAAGCTGACGACCTTGCTCTGTAAAAAGAATCGTTGCGAAATCTTAAAGAAGTGAGAGTTAGATGGATGCAGAGACAAATCTGGGAGAATCTTTTGAGCAGGGCTGTGGCTCAAAAAGGGCTGCTCTGCCTATGATGATGAATATACTGCTGCTACTACTAATACTACTACTACTTCTACTAGTAATACTACTACTACTAGTCGTCTGAAGCCGAATTTACTACTGCAGAACAGACTAAGGTTAGCTCTTTCTAAGGGGCCCAACTGAGTAGGTGTCTTCCCCCTTCACCTGAGGACAGAAATATATTCAGTTTCCGAAACGACGTGTTTTCTATTTTCTAGAATACCGGACGATGGGAAAAGTCCAAAAACCCAGTAGTTCTAAGTGTTATGCACCATCATCAGAAACCTTTGGAGTTTACTAAAACATGTTGTGTTAGGTAACACCCATCACACATAACGTTCGAAGTCTCATATTTCTGCCAAGTTATTTGTTAACTTATGAATAACATTTCATACAAAGTGAACCGGTAACAAATCTCCATACCAAATTTCACATGGTCAACTCCATTAATATATCAGTCACCACAATCGAACTGAAAACTAAATGGAGATAACTTGCCACGTTCTTGCTTTACCTTACACAAAAGTTGTCTACAGGGAAGTAGCATTTTTTGGAGGTTTATAATTGTACACAATTTCAGGACTATCCGATAAGGTCACTGGATTTTTTTGTTGACCTAATCATTCCAGCCGCACTATGGCTCTAGGGTCGACTCAGCCTCTAACAGAAATGAGTACCAGGAATCTTCCTGAGTTTATAAGGTGAGCGTAAGGCTGACAATCTCGCCGCCATCTGTAGACGATTGTCTACAAAATGTGGGAGCTCCGACGTCTCACAACCCTATGGGTCTCTACGGCAAGTTACAGGAATAGCTTTCTTGTTATTAGATGGCGCTTCTATCTCGCAAATTCATTCGTCCGAAACATTGTTGGTTCAAGAAAATTCAGGAGTACACGCCAGGGATAGGCTCACAGCACGGTGATTGGTTGATATGTTGCAAGGCTCTGGGTTGAGACATACAGGCGCAGGCCTCTACAGTTGATTCCATACCTATATTTAATCCTTAAGAAGGGGAAACACAGAAAATATACGGTCGTGTGACCTGTAAACTCGAAAGTTTTACTCATCCCTGCTCTAACTACAAATCACCTTATTGTGACGCGCGCGCTTTTCCACAGAAAGTTGCACCAAAACTCTGGCAAGACAGAATATATGAAAGAATAAGTTCCCATCTATCCAAGTTCATTTTTAACAAGAAAAGCGAAGAAGGAAAGAATCTGAGACGAATTCAGAAAAGAAAAAGAAAAACGACGGGCAAAGATAATAAATTCCATCCACCGTACTCGAAGTCTGATGTGTACGGAAACAACATGTTGTGAGTTTATACGCGTTTCTCTATCAATGTCAGTTCTATAAACAGAGGAGGGAAGAGGCGAAGAGGGAACACGCACACGGGTAGATGCAACTTCCAAGTATGCGAACTACAGCACAACAAGTAACTCGGTCAGTCCTTCAAAACACATGTTCGAGGGAGTAAAATTAAAGATAAATTCAGTTCTCCACTCATGTGAAAAGATATAAAAATTACTTAAATTCTGCATAAAGTGGCATTTAATTTTATTTATCTTCCAATCATCACAAAGAAACTGTGTTGTACTGTCTTAATGCGTATCGAACTTGGCGATGGTCAAGCTTACGACCGTAACTAAGCTGCTGTTGTAGCACAAGACAGTAAGATATGCATGAGCTGCTCTGCAAAGCCTGGACTGACAGAGGACTTGTATATAGTGCAAGAGGAAGAATTATCAATAACTTGCTGTATGTGCGACATGTACATTTGACAAAGGCGAAGAATATTCATAAGAACTCTGGTCGTGAGTCTCAAGTGGCTTGAGGCCAAGACGAACTGGTTGGTGGTAAACCGCCAGTCGTAAAGTAACTCTGACTTTGACTTTGAGTTGCTGACTCAGTTGAGAGTTGCAGTTGTGAGAAGTGAGGTGGTAGCTGAGGCACGGGGATAGTTCGTGAACCCAGTTGAAGGAGAACGTCCGCCTTTGGAAGCCGCTACCGAGCAACGACAAGTGAAGACTTAGTGCGGACGTCACCGTGAACGACTGAGTACCAGAACTCCTGTCCTCAAATGATCCTCAACATCCGGGCTCCAAATAAAGGGTTACGGGAGCACGCTACGACTCCCAGCCGCTAGTGCAGACTTACAAGACTTTATGCGTTCTGTAGTTACAGTGATCTTTGTAAAGTGTAACTCAGTTATGGAGTCGTAGTTATTTGTAGTTACGTGTTGTTTAAAAGTCCAATAAACTCGATTACCAATCAAAACCCCTTCTATAGTCACTCAAACCGTGACAATATTATTTGGCCATTCATGTTAAAACTACGAAGAATTATGTTCAGCATGCACCAGAAATTAATTTTAAGTGTTATTATCTTCTGGGCACTGGTGCGTGTAGTCTCCCAGGAGACTGTTCACTTCATAGCCGTGAGAATCCTCCCTTAAAATATACAATTTATTGAAAATCCT